CCTACCTACCTACCTACCTACCTATCAGATGAACAGAGTTGGAAGGGACCTTGTAGGTCATCCAGTCCAACCCCTTCCCCCAAGCAGGAGACCCTACACCCTTTCTGACAGGGGGCAGTCCAGCCTCTTCTTGAAAGCCTCCAGGAAGGGCACCCAGCCAGTAAACCCTCTGCTTGCTCCATTCAGCTGCCGAGACTCCACCCCGCAAGGGCTTACGGGGTTGTTAAAAAGAAGATGAAGTCATCCAGGTGGACCTCTGAGTCTTGGAAGGTCCCCAGTCTGGGCAGCCCCTTCCTAGTCCGTTTTTTTTTTAAACGGTTGCCAGGTGAGCGTACAGGAAGTGCCCCCCCCGGGCTCCATTTTAACCTCCTGCCCCGCCCTGCTCTCTGCTTGCAGCTCCAGCTCCTCTGGCCGGCGGCCAGCCTCCCCTTCCTGCAGCGATTCCTCAGCCAAACGCTCTGCCTCAACCGACTCAGCCCAAGCCCAGCGGTGCTGCCCAGCCAGTGGCCACCGCGCAAGCCCAGCTCCCTTCAGCCCAGGCCACGCCACAGCACCAGCTCTTCCTCAAGCAGCCGCAGCCGCAGGCGCCGGCTCTCTTCTATCAGCAGCAGCCTCCGCAGATGCCGCCCCTGCAGGCTCAACAGGTAAGGCTGGCAACGTCCAGTCGTCCCCCCCTCCCGCCCCTCCCCCCGCTTTTGTCAACTGCGTCCGTCTGGCGTGGGAGTTGAGGTGGCAAAAGCAGAGTGGGTGGGGCCGGTTTGCAGGATGGAAGTTAGCCTTGGCCTCATTTAGCGACGGCTCGCAGTTAAACAGCTGTGACAGAAACGTAACTCCTTTGCCCAAATCCTCCTGTTCTCGACCTTCGGAAGTCTGGCAAGGAAAGCAGAAGAAGTAAGATCATCATAAGCACGGTTGAGGATCATCATAAGCATGATTTATTAGAAGTGATCATGTCGGCATTACCTGGATGCAGCCGATACTAAAATACATCATTTCCCCCTTGACCCCGGCCTTCCTCCCACCCCTGAATGTGTATTCTCCAATGGGACACATCCATAGCCAAGAGTCATCAATCACGCTCTCCAGTAATATTCTTGTGCTTTGGCAGTTTTGGGCTGCCAGGGCGATTATCTAGGCACTAAGGGAATGCTCTGTTTTCCCCCACTTCCTTTTTCTGACAGCTAAAAGGACCAAAGGAGTATATTTTTAGATGACAGTTTGTTTATATGTCCCAAAGGTGCTTTTTTTTTCAAAAGGCAATTGGGCTTTCTGGTTTTTCTTCGAAGATGTTTTGCTTCTCATCCAAGAAAGAAGCTTCTTTAGTTCTGACCCCAATTGTAGTGGCTAAAAGAGAACGGACTGTATATCATTATGGGTAGGGTCATCCAAGCCCATAGAGGAGGGGTCTCCAACCTTGGCCACTTTAAGCCTGGTGGACTTCAACTCCAAGGTTGGAGACCACTGCCATAGAATTTCTTTGTGCAAACACAGGCTCTGGGAGTTAATCCTGGTGCCCCATCGGAGTCAGTCGGGCCAGGAAAACCGAAATCACACCTGCTTTAATCCTCAACCTCTTGCCTTTTGCTCCACCATCCATCCTTCTGTGAGTGAGAAAGAGGAAGAGAAGGAAGGACGCGTTAGACCAGAGCAGAGCAGGTCGAAACGGCCGTTGGATTCAGGGTTTAATCCCACTTTTCAGCCTCCATGACGGGTGGCCCTTGGACCTATGTGTCAATCAGCCCAGTTGTCAGGATTCCGGGCGGTTGCCCTAATGAAATCATGAGCCTTGAGCCAAGCTTCAAAAGAATCCAGAAGGTTTATTAAGAGCAACAAGTCCGGCATTAGCCTGCATGAAGCCAACTCTATGTAATTTACAGTCCACTGTGACCCTCTTTCCCCCCCCCTCCTCCCTGGGTATGTCATAAATCAGACTCTCCAGTGAAGCACGTTTTCACTGGGCTGGGTGTCATCAATCACGTTCTCCAATTAAGGATTTTCCTGGGCAGAAGATCCGGTAGCCTAGGCTACAATCTTTGTGAGATAAGTGTTGGAAGGAACTTCCGGTTTTAAACGGCCGCCCTGCTCCGTCAGGTTTCTCCCGCCCCCTTGTTTATGGCAACTCTGAAACAGACATAGGAATGCTTTACGAGTTGACACCAGTGAGGGCCCCCCTCCCTTGTCTCTCAAACTCTGCTGCAACCACCCGGTCGTTGCGTTGCCGACCGCACTTGGACTGAGTTGTCAATGCAGGAAGGTGGATGGGGAAAACCGAAATTCACGGCGCCCGGCTTTCTGTCTTCCAGAAAAGGGCAGGCAGTGACAAAGGCTTTGCTTTCCTCTCTCCTAGGCCCACAAAATGCCACAGGCTGCCCCGGCATCCGGAAAGCCTCAATTCCCGGGGATGCAGCAGGGAGCAGGGGCCGCCACACAGCCGCCACCGCCGCAGCTTTTGGCCCAGCAAGCCGCCATCCAAGCCAAGATGGTTGCTGGGCCACAGAAGGCCCCCGCACAGCCTTCGGGAGCCCCAGCAGCGCCCAACCAGGAACTCCCGGTAAGGAACAGGCAGACCTTCCTCTCCATGGGTTCGGGTGCCTGGTTCTGCACCATGTGCTGCGCGAGACCAACCCGATGGGCTAAATGGTGCTCAGGATCTACGCCGTAAAGAATAAAGGCAGATTGAAGAACTCTTAGCCCGGTTTGGTGTGTTGTATGAGTGCAGCCATCAGGTCTTTGACTGGGCATTGTCTGAGGGTAGCCAGGAAGTCTTTAACAGACGCAGATAAAGATTAACAGAGTTGGAAGGGACCTGGTAGGTCGTCTAGTCCAGCCCTCCACCCAAGAAGGAGACCCTACACCATTTCTGACCGATGGCAGTCCAGCCTCTTCTTGAAATCCTCCAGGGATGAAGCTCCCACAACTTCTGAGGGCAACTTCCGTTCTATAGGTTGATTGTTGTCACTCTCAGAAAGTTTCTCCCTATTTCCAGGTTGAATCTCTCCTCCTTGTTCAGTTTCCATCCATTATTATTCCTTCTCTGGCCTTTGGTGCTTTGGAAAATAGCTGGACCCCCTTCCTCCTCTCTGGGGCAGCCCCTCAAATATTGCAAGTCTGCTCTCCTGTCTCCTCTGGTTTTTCTTATCACTAGACTATCCAGGCCCGGTTCCTGTAACCGTTCTTCATATGTTTTAGTCTCCAGTCCCCTCATCATCCTGGTTGCTCTTCTCTGCACTCTTTCCAGAGTCTCAACCTCTTTTTCATAGTATGGTGACCGAAACTGGTGAAAACTAGTAGCTTGAACCAGAACTAGATTCCGCTGGTGAAGGGCCTCTCAGCCAACCTTCTCTTAAGGACGAACTTGGTCCTGCTCTGGAAGTTGCGATGAGAACCGATCTGCAAAGTCCAGGGGATGAAGGGCTACTCCAGCTAGTAAACCTGTGGAACTGTTGTGCAAAAGGCACCACTAAATGTGGTTTTGGTAGCGTTGCGCAACAGCCGTGACTTGTGATTGCGGAGGGCAGAGGGAGTGGCCTTGGAGGGGCACTGGGAAGTCCTGTTGCCAATACAGGTAGTTCTTGACTTATAACGGTTCGTTTAGCGACCTTTCAAACTTACAACGGCCTGGAAGAAGTGACCTACAACCAGTACATGCCCTAATTATGATCTCAGCATTCCCCATGGTCATGTGATCAAAATTTGGGTGCTTGGCGGTTAGCGTGTATTTATGACGGTTGTCCCGGAATCACGGAATCGACTTTTGCGAGCAAACTCAATGGGGAGGCCAGTCTCTCAACAACCTTGTTGCTAACAACGGCAAGTGATTTCGCTTAACAACCGTGGGGGAAAAAAAAGGGGGTAACATTGGGTGTGACTGGCTTAACAAGTGCCTCGCTTAACGATAGAAATTCTGGCCTTAATTATGGTTGTAAGTCAAGGACTAGCTGTGTAACGATTAGAGAAACGTGGCTTAAGCCCGTTCCAGGAAACTAGTTTCAAGGGAAAACAATTCAGGCCAGCCCCTCCCTCGTTGGGGAGGGAGGAAGGAGCCCAAAGGGACTTGCAAAATTCGGCTACTAGAGGTTTTACCCCAAAAGGTGATCTTGTTCTCTTCGGCCATGGTTCCTTCTGCTTTGCAAAGACGGCATGTTTGAGACAGATTGTCTGCGGGAACCCTTCAGCCTCATTGGGTGGAGAGGATTCTGGTCAATTGACCAGTGTAAACGATGGTTCTTTTTCTTTCTTTCTTTTGATGTCATCTGCGGGAGGACATTCAGGGTAGATTTACTACTGGAGGAAGCTGAAAGAGCGGAGGGCCTCTTTAGAGCTGGTTACAAGCACTGTGGGGATCGACACATCTGGCATAGAGACTCCCCTCAGTGCCAGATGCTACCGTGGTGTGTGAATCGTTAGAGAACCGGATTGACCCACGACCACAAAGAAGGTTCAGTAGATTTGATCTCACTTTGACGGGGCAACCAGTGTGAAGCAAAGGCAGATAAAGATTTATCAAGATAAATATTACAGTTCTGCCATTCTGTTATAACTCCAGCTAAATCATTCATTCATCTGTTTCATAATGGGCATAAGTTCTGACCACATAACATCAACGTTCTTAAATACTTCATTATTATTTGACCAATCGCTGACCGATCAACTCCCTCTGCTTTCTGCTGGGAAGTGGAGGAGAGGCGGCCTCTCCCACCTCAGGCGGCCTCTCTTCCCTCGCTTGGCTTCCTTTCAGCCTGGTGGGCCAAGACAGACTGGGAGCAGCTCTGCTGTTTGCTTTGGCCTCGGTTCCTAGGCTGGAGGAGGCGCAAGGGAGGGAGGAGGCCTTCATTGAGCAGAGCCGGCAGGGGCCGGGGTGGTGATGTGGGCAAGATTGTTTGCAAGATTCCAAATCACTCCAAAAGAATTTGGAAGGAGTGGATTCCACAGTTTGAATTTAGCTCGGTGTCAGTGGAGAGCTTTCATGAGCCTTACTCTGCGTTGCATGGTTGTATAAACATACATTTTATTGGCAGTGCCCCGGTTGGACATAGGTGAGGCCAGAGGTTTCCAAACTTGGCAACGTTACGACTTATGGACTTCCAACTCCCAGAATTCTCCAGCCAGCATAGCTCTGGGGAGCAAAGCAGTGGTGATATGCTACCGGTTCGGCCCGGTTCAACTGATCCGGTAGTAAAAATAACTACCAGTACTGATGAACCGGGTCCTCTGACAATCAACTGAGAGGATGAAAGAAGTGAGAAGCGCACGGGAGGGTGGGAGCTTTTCATTTCTTCATTCTCTCCGCTGATTGGTGCCTTAGGGGGCGCATGCACAATCGCCCACCCAATCGGTAGCGACCAAGGTAGAAACCCACTACTGGAGCAAATGCCATGGAAGATGGGAAACCGAAGACCCCCCCCCCCAGAACAATGGGATAGACAAGTAGTTGTGTTTGGAGAAGACATCAAGCCATGCATTAAACGATAGGCTGCTACATATTACATGCTACATACCTACATGTGGTATGGACCAACCTTGTAGGGTTAGTGTAGGCCTCTCTGTGAACCTTGAAACTTTGATTGTATTTATTCTGGGATGGAAATGGAGCCTGGTGTATTTCAGTCCTCTCGGACCCCTTGAAACGTGGCCCATCGTCCCTTCAGTTGGATTTGGATTTGAAGTCCTTGGTTTTCTGCCCAGATTCTCTTCTTTGCAAATCGCAAGGGCTGACTTGCTTCCGAAGCCCTGAGAGGTTTGCTGTAGGTCTCTCTTTGGGGTCCATGTAGCTCAGAGGTGGCCAACTTGAGGCTCTCCCCCCCCTCCCCCGGCACCACATGGATTCCCTGAGTCCTTTACCTGCAACAGAGTCAGTGAAAAATGGCAGCGGGCTCCCTTGCCTGCCTTTACCTAATGGCCTGTGAGAAGAACCTTGGGAGACAGGAGGGAAGAGAGGCAGCCGAGGCCAGGGGTCTCCAACCTTGGCCACTTTAGGACTTGTGGATTCCCAACTTCAAAGCTGGCTGAGGAACTCTGGGAGTTGAAGTCCACCAGTCTAAAAGTGGCCAAGGTTAGAGACTCCCGGCCTGGATACTGGTAAAACCAGTGATGTCTCAGCCCTTAGAAGGAATCAAAGTCAAGATAAGGGAAGTTTGTGCAGAGCCGCAGGTTGGACAACCAGCCTGCAAAAGGTAAACGTCCCACAGCTCTTCTCACCTGCTCTTGATCCGGAGGGAGGCAGGAGGTGTCTTTTGCAGGGGCAACTAACCAGGTCCCTACGTGAAGAGTTACTTGTTAGCTGTTCAGTTGCCAAAGTCTGTACTGTACCCAGGAATCTCAGGCTAATGGTTAGCACCTGGCTCAGACTCCAGGAGGTTCCGCGGCATTCAAGAGGGGTCAGACACGGCCTCTTGTACCCATGAAAGGATTCTAGACAAATTCCCTGTTTGACGCCTTCCCCCCCCGGCTCAACCGTCGATCTCCAACACCCAGAACCTTCAGCGAATAGAACCGGGATGTTCGAGGTGGTTTCCTGCAATCCTTCAGAGGACTAACCTGGGGAGGCTCATGGGATTGGGGAGGGGGATATACTCCTAGGGTT